TTTTTTCAATTTGATGTTCCTTCCCCTCTGTGAAGTCTGAAGTCAACTAAAGGGCTAATGATTACCATCAAGACGCCTGCCATTCGATATAAATAAATCATGACTATACTAACTGTTACTTGTCAATTAAATAGAAGCAAGAAAAATTCTAATTTTTCTAATACTGCAGTTTGCTGGTCAATACGACCATTTTTCGAAATTGCTGCAACAACTATTTCATGGATTATTACGCCAGGATTGACGAATAATTTCATAATTAAGACATTTAACTAATAAGAGATTTTTTCTGATTAGCTGGTTTGGAACGATCACAATATAACACATGTAGAGTGAGACAATTGAAATTCATTGAAGTGTCGGTTCTTGGCAGTTTTCAAAAGAGCTGGAAAGAGTAAAACGCATTGGTTTATATCGTGTGTAAATGTGTGTGCAAATTCATAATACAAATCTTGTCGTTTACTGAGTGGAGAAGCATGATCGAGTGTATTGTTTCACATCTCTACGTTAAGGAATGCAAGAAAAGTGCAAAATTGGACGCTATGTTGGCCAAGAAATTGCAAGATGTTACCGAGGGTGGCAATGGCTTGGCCACAGAAGGAGCTGATGGCATTCGTTGCAAAATCACTGAGGATAAAGTGACATTCGAAGGAAAGAACAGTGTCATTCTTCGCAAGAGTATTGAAAGCATAAAGGCAAATAGGACAAATCGCACTGCTGCTGTGGTTGTCAAGACACAAAAGAAGAAACGCAAGCAACTATTTATCCTGAAATTCCCAAATGAAAAACATTTAAGAAAATTTGAAGAAGCGCTAGGCGTGGTTACCACTGGCGAAGAGAAGAAGGCGCAGAAAGTTCACAAAGTATCGAAATCTCCAGGACCACGGAAGAACCGAAATTCTTCTAAAGCAAGGTACTCTGAACCATCTCCTGTTTCCAAAGTTTCTTCCTACATTTCAACGGATTTAGTGAAGCCTTATTATAGCGATAATGAAGGCCAAAGTGGATTAAACGAATTTTCTGATAGCAATAATTATCCAATAGGGGAGAACAGAACAACGGTTAACGTATATTACTTGAACAGTTTACCTGACAACGGAATGACTGCCAAGCGTGAAGGTGCTGTCTATACCTACGAAACCCGATTTCGAAATGAGTCCGAATTGTCTGAATTTTTGGATTCAAATTCATTTAGTAGTAGTTTTTCTGTGTCCTCTCGTGATATTGCCTATCAAATACTACCGGTTGATGTTGAAAATGGCCGTGGGAGAAGAAGGGACAGAGGAAGCCGTCCAAGAAGCGATTTTGTAGGATCTCGTGCAGCTTCAATTTCCTTCCTTAAAGAACAAAATTTTGAAAGACCTGGCAAAGTATCGCCTAGGCCCGCCTCCCATTACGTGAAATACTTTGAACGTTCTAGATACGCCCCAAATTAAGACCTCACTCACACAATTATTATGCGTCTTCTGTAACATATTTTGAATCGCTTTTTCATATTGTTTTCAATTATTACTATTTTAATAAATTCTACAACTAAAATTACTCCTGTTTTCGTTTTATTAGTTGATTTGAGAATTTTGCATTTATTTCTATTATTCTTATAATTATTTCTATAAATATTGGCCCTAATGTCAAGCAAGATTTGTGAAAATGTAAAGGATTTATTCAATTGAAATACAACCTTTAAGAAATGGCAGGAGAAAATCAGCTTGCTCAGCCAGTAAACACTCCTTCCCACTCAATCTCACTAATTTTGGAATCACATGACGACCTGAATCATCACCACCTACGCGTAGTGAGCAGTAGTGTGGGCTTATTTTTGATCAAACGCAAGCATCAATTCTATTCTTGTAAATGCACAACCAAACGAGTCAAATTTGTTTATGGCACTTCTCGTTTAAAATTTTGTATTTTTTATCTTTTTTACCCTTGGCATAACAAAATTTTATTCACCCAGCTGAGTAGAGAAAAAGTAGGTTGGTTCCATAAGTTAAAAAATAGGGGGGGGGGGGGGGGGTCAATAATAAGTAGGTATTCAAGTTAGAGAACTTTAAATTACCTGACGTTTCATAATCGGAAAGTCAACTTTGTGCTATCTTTTACTACTGAAGCTTCATCTTTTGAAGCAGATGAGTATACGTCCACTTTACTTAGACGTTGCTGAAGGGTTGATTTAATTCCGAGACAGGTATGGAGACCTTTAATTGCCTGAATTATCCCAAAATCCGCTAAGCGAGAATTTTGTCGACATTGTATACGGAGTGCATATAACCACGGTTTGCTCAAGATGAGTGGAGTGGCTTTCAAGTCACATCTGAACAGAAAAAACAAGTGAGTTCACCTTGAGGGAGATCCAGTGAATTTGACTATGCTTACAAGGCCCCTTCTGGCTAATGATGATAACGATGATGACGATGATGAAGTAATTAAGGAAAATCGTTCTGTGAAATGGTCGGTGAAAGTCATAATTATGTCGACCTTAAGGGGGAATTTTATCGAGGAGACTTGGTAAACCAGCACAATTAGACCATCGGTCTATAGGTGCTGAACATTTTTGTTCAAGATCATCATTAATACACCAGAGAACAAAGTAGGAACTTCAATTATTGATGGTGAGATTTATTCACTAAACCCCTATTGTCACATTTCAATTGGCTTTAAATGGGAACAACGTTTTCATTCTTTAAATAAACGTATAACACTCGAAAAATTGGTGAACTCAGTGACTTCCAAAGTTCCGGCTCAGAACGCATCTTTCCTCTTTGATACACTCACCTACAATTCCACTCGGTCTGCTGTTATTTTGTACTCTAAAGAACTCTTTCTTTGCAGTTTATTTTCTCTTGCATGATTAATACCAACTCGCAGTTTTTAATATTTCATCCATTGTGTTGTTTTCAATTTTAAAGCAATCATTTGACTCGATCAAATTTCACGAAAATAGAGTGAGTAAGTAGAGTATTGAAGCAATATCATGATGAGACTGCATTCAGGTGATTGAGTCAAGTGTTATGAGGAGGGGAGGAGGGGTTAAATTATTTTAATCACACACACACACACACACACACACTCGAGGCTTACGAATTAGATAATCCAATTCGTCTCCTCATTAATTGAAAACTCACAATATAATAGGATTAACTAAATGATTCAGCCCATTGAAGCGCATGAAATTTTATTTTGATCTGGTTGAGCTTGATTCAACCAAGAATTTTCTTCATTATTGTCATCATTAAATATTATCTTAAAAGAGCCTTTATTACACCGACTCTAACAATCATCCATTAATAAGTGATTAGCAAATTAATTAATTAAATGTCATTGTTTCCGGGCTGGATTGATTTAATTTATACAAAATTAGATTGTCCCTTGGCCAATATGGATAATCCATTAAAGGTCATACAATCTGTGGTGTCTTTATAATGCTCTTTCTTGAATTAATAAATCAATCCCACAAACTTATTTGGGTACAACTCAGTGAATCAGTTATATATATAACTTTCTGTTGACTTCTGAAATTGTGTCATGTAACATTGGCATTACATGAAATTAAAGAATGATAAATGCTTCCAAATCATTTACATTGCCCTTCTTAGCTCAAAAGCTCATTTTAATTCTATTGGAGTAAATTAATTCTTGATTTATGATTAAATTGAATAACTTTATTTGAATGTCAAAGACTGAGTTTGGGAGTCTGAACTAAACTTACAACATTTCAAGTACTTAAAAACTAGTAAATAAATGGAAATTTAATTTTAATGATTAATAAAAGTTTTGTCTGCCTTCATCACGCTTACTCTTGCTCAAATTCAATTTACTTTCAATGGATTTTTTGACACAAAAAATGACTTCAATTGAAAATCATATTGGGAAAGGGAAATGAGGTATTTATTTTCATGGTTTCATTTAAAAGATATTAACAAGAGTAAACTGAAATGGGAAAATTTTCATCGTTAGGATACTTTGAAAAAACTTTTGGTCATATGGGAACACGGATATTCCAGAAATGAAAGATTTTGAAGTTAATGAAATGAACAATTCGGTATCATTCAGGTTTAAGAACGTGAAGAAGATGGAGGACATAACAAAGTCGATATCGAACAGCTTTTTGGATTGATTAGATGATAAATCACGTTTCGTATCATTTATATAACTGCAACTCCTGTTTTTCATTCTAGGCCACGAAGGTATGCAGTTTAGATTCGTTAAGGCTCGTAGTGAAAGAGTACTTAGAACCGAACGTATCCGTGACCATCGACGATCTCCATTTTGTGAGAATCTGGTCTATCTCGTGTTGCCTGAGATTTTGTCTCGTAAGATGAAAGTCTTGAAGGTAATTCGTGTTCAACTTGACTTATTTCTGATTTAGGTCGATTGCGTTGTCTTTGTGGTGTTGGTGTTAGCAATCTTGAAGAAAATGAAGAATGGCTACTGGACGATCTTTCTTCTACGACCAACCCTTTGACCGAATTCGAGTGACGAGTTACTTTACGACTAGATTGAGCCTCTACTGTAGTCGATGATGATTCTGAAAGCGGACTCACAGGAGTGGGATATCGGTTAAATTTACCAGTTTCATCCTGTTTAGGAGTAATTGATTGCTCCAATTTCTGGGAAAACACGACGGAAGTTGGGTTGGGATTAATTGTGTCATAGAATCTCACGAATTCGCTGTTGTCAAGGAATCTCATGGTAAATAGCTTCATGCGATTTTTCTTTGTCTTTGTAACCACCATAATAACTCCATAATCCTTATTTCTTTGTATACGTTCGATGTTCTCGCAATCGATCACCTTCTTCTTTCCCTCGAATTCCACCTTTTTATTCTTAACCTGACATTTAATATTCTTATTCTTGTTTATTCCTGCCGTCTTTCGGAGCTCTTTGATCATTTTGTCTTCCAATTTTTCTGGTTTATTGCATTTTCCAGTACGCAAGCATGAGACGAGAAACTCTGTCATACCACCTTCACTGTCAAGATGTTTCAGCTCAACTATGTGTCTCCTATCACTTTGAAGTACTCTAATGTCATTGGGTAGTTATTATCAAATCAGCCTCATTCCTACTTTCATTGCCTTGACAGTGGTGTCACTTTAGGCCTTATTAGTCACGCTCTCTTCTTATTTACGCATTTCTGCCCTTATAATGAAATAGTATCATATATTTCTCATATTTAGGGCTTTAGTGACAAGCTTTCATTCTATTTATTTACATAGCTACATAAATTTTGAGTCATGAATTAGGCATGTTTAATAAATACGCGTATACACAAGGAGTTCATTAGGGTATTGGTTTAATATTCGTATTTGGGTTAGTAACTCAAAATTTTTATTGATTTTTCATGCGTTATCGAGAAGAGTGCTGACTTAGAATAAACAATTACTCCACCCTACGTATTCTCTCTATAATCAGCCCCACTTATCCACCGTGTTTGCACAATCACATTTCGCATTACAAGCGAAGATGCGTTTGAGGCAGTTGTCTTATCTCAAATTTAACTGTAAAAAGTTGCAAAAGGAATGCAATATGTTTTGGCAACTAGAAAGTTTAGTTTCCAAAATTCAAGTTTCAATTCTCGTCTCCTTAGAACTTGACTTTATTTTATTTTTCCTAGTGGTTATGAACCTAAGCACTCTTATAGGATTTTGTAAATTTTCGGGAGTAGAAAGCACTTTGTGAGCTTCCGGTTTCAGGATTAACATTAATGAATTTTCCCATATAGTTCATCTATTTGTGTGCCAATATTGTATTGGAAAAAATTCTTGAGAGACTTCAAACTCGTTGCTTCCATAATTGATCACTTTTCTTCTGAGATAATGGATATCAGGATTTTAAATTTATTAAATTATGTTTAATATAGCATTTAGAAATTCATTTTAAAGAAGCTTAGAATTCTGAAGATCGATTGAATCAATAAATTGATTAATCAAACTGTTAATATGAACACACCATCGATTCGAGCATTTCCTAATACACTTATGGTAAAGGATAAAACCCCTCAATATACTCATTTTCTTAATTTTTTCTGTCATTGCAAATAAAGTGATCATGCTTAATCACCGAACTCACTCACTTTTTATGCATTTCATCATATGATCAAACGACCCCTACTCTAACTCGTTGG